ACACGAGATTTTGGTAATTTTAGAAACAGTACTGCAATGTGTTCCGCCGATGGAAGGCATTAACTGACTACTTATTGCAGTTTTTTAGACAATTAGTTTTAAAGTAATCATGCAATTATTAGATTAATAGTATATAGTTAGTAAATTCAGTTCGTAAAATGGGAAGTGAACCCATCATTAGTTTAGATAAACGGGCTTATTGTAAAATAAACAAAATAAACTGGACATTTACCACCAATCTTGTACTGAAATCAGCTGCGCTAACAATATTCTTAACTCGAACGGTGAGTAAAACTAATCGCTCTTTCCTTAAAAAGCTGTTCTAGTTTCATGAGTGTCAGTTACATTATTTTCGAAATAAAAATAACATTAATGAATTTTCAAAAATGTAAAATTTCTCCAAACTCCAAAATTTATTCATTTTGGAGTGACAAAAAAACTGTCCAAATTGAATTATAACAATTTTTTGCGTTAAAGGTGAATAAATTTCTAGGTTTGGTGGAATTTTAAATTAAATTTTAAAAAGGTAATAATGCTATCTCTAATTCAGAAAACGGCAGAACTGAAAATCGTGAAATTAGAACAGCCTTTTTGTCGCTTTAAATTAATAAATTTTGGAGTTTGGGGGATTTTTATATTTTTGAAAATTTTTTAAGACTATTTTCATTTCGAAAACAATTGAACTGACACTCATGAAACTAGAACAGCTTATTTGCCGTTTCAAAATGAATAAATATCTAGGTTTCAGAGAATTTTAAAGTCAAATTTGCACAGGTAATTTAGTTTGTTTAATTTAATCTTGTACTGATTAATTCTATTTCAAAATTTGCAGAACTGATCCTCGTTAAATTATGACAGTCTTTTCCGTTTTAAAGTGAATAAATTTCTAGGTTTGGGTGAACTCTCGAGTAATATTCAAAAAGTTATAAATACTAATCCTATTTTTGGAAACGGCTGAACTGATATTCGTAAAATTATAGCAGACTTGTTATCCCTTTAAAGTGAATAAATTTCTAGATTTGGAAAAACTTTCGAGTAGAATTTAAAGAGTTATGAATACTTATTATATTTTGGCAACGGCTAAACTGATAGTCGTGAAATTCTAACAGGTTTTTTGCTGCTTTAAATTGAATAAGTTCATAGGTTTGGGCGAACTTTCGAGTCGAATTTAAAAAGTTATGAATATTAGTCCTATTTTAGAAACGGCTGAACTGATTCTCGCGAAATTATAACAGACTTTTTATCGCTTAAAGTGAATAAATAATATATATAGACCTCGTACCCGAGGCTTCAAATCGAACCCACTCACTATTAGCAGAATGGTTGACAGAAACTCAATTATAAATAATTGATGCATAAATTTCCCGGCACGAAAATTAAACCGCGTGTCTTCTTCGGCTTCAGGCTTATTATTTGTTAGCGTTAAACTTCATTTTATTATAAATTGTGATACCTCTGTATTGTGATGCGAACTCTCTTACCTTAAGCCTATTTTATAAATTGGTCCAATACCGCTTGCCTGATGCTCACTAGTAAACTCATTATTGCTGGCCTGATGCTCACTAGTACTCATTATTGCTGGCCTGATGCTCACTAGTAAACTCATTATTGCTGGCCTGATGCTCACTAGTACTCATTATTGCTGGCCTGATGCTCACTAGTAAACTCATTATTGCTAGCCTGATGCTCACTAGTAAACTCATTATTGCTGGCCTGATGCTCACTCTGTCTCTTATACACATCTAGATGTGTATAAGAGACAGGGCCTGATGCTCACTAGTACTCATTATTGCTGGCCTGATGCTCACTAGTACTCATTATTGCTGGCCTGATGCTCACTAGTAAACTCATTATTGCTGGCCTGATGCTCACTAGTAAACTCACTATTGCTGGCCTGATGCTCACTAGTGAACTCACCATTGCTGGTCTGATGCTCACTAGTGTACTCACTATTACCAGCTTGATGCAACGCACTATTAAACTCACTATTGCGCGCCTGATGTGACACTGTTGGCGGGGGTGGTTTAGGCTACTTTGCAGCACACCCTCTTGTTCCTCTTATATGTTGTCCCCTTTTTCCCTCTTATGTGTGTTACTGTGTGTTTATATTGAAGTGTTTAACTATTTTATAAATTCAACTAAAATAATTCTCATTCTTTTCAGGTCAGGTTTAGATCAGTAACTGATTATCTAAATTTATGTCAAAAACTATTCTAAAGTGTGGTGCTGTATAAATTGCTGTCCCACGCTCCCTAGTCCCTAACCTCTTGAGTGATTTGCTCTAAAGCACCCTATAAACCTCCTACCTGGCTTGTATTGGAAGCCGTTATTGGTGCGCATCTTAATCATTGGTCTGTGTGCATTTATACTTGGCGTCATCTTTAGTTCAGCTTCAGTTTATCAGTCTTACACATTTTCCTTATTCTGTCATTTTCCTGTCACTTTCACTGTATGAAATCCCAATAGTTATTAGAACCAGTATTTGCGTTTCATTTTCCTTTTCAACCTCTAGTCATCATATTAGTTTCACTAATTCTTGGTTACCAACAAGTTGGTCAAAGTAGGCGACGAGTTCGTCTCACCCGCGTTGAGACACCGGTAACAACACACTATTAAACTCACTATTGCCAGCCTGATGCGACGCACTATTAAACTCACTATTGCCAGCCTGATGCGACGCACTAATAAACTCACTCGCGAGTCAGGCTTCGAGCCTAAGAAGTCTTTGGCTCCCCACTAATGTCGTCTTTGATTGTCTGAGCTCATAAGCGCCTTTGCGCTTGGCAGCGTCCATATCTTCGCTGGAGTTTGGCTAAATGCTTACCAAGTCCCTGGCTTACATGAGGAGGCTGGAGTTCCGGAGCCACAGTCAAAGCTCGCTTACGTACACGAACGGCCGACTTCTCGTCTGTGATTGGTGGGTTAAGTTATTTTTGATAGTGTCTCCTGAAATAGCTTCGACACGTGTAAGTTAATTATATGTACTGTAAATATTTTTTATGCACGCACGATAGATACTTTTACTAGAGAGCAACTTCGCTGCTCTGCAACTGTAACCAGTCGCGTTACGATAATATTCTCTTGCCAGTAGCACAATCCAAGCTTTACTCAATAGTTTGTACCATAATTGTTGTACAACCAATTGTTTGTCTTAATATTTATTGTACAGCCAATGAGTTGTACAATAATTATGTATAAAGGTTGACGTGCATGCATTGTTCTTACGGCGTAGTATCCCAATTTATTTTCTTTAGCAGAAACCGTTCGTCAAAAAACTAATATGTTAAGGCAACAAGTTTTTTTCCGAAACTAAATTTAATTTTTAGCGCATTTTCTCATTTATGGAAAAAAGGCGCTATTGTGCTCGTCATGTCCGTCCGTCCGTGACGTCCGTCCGTCCGTCCGTCCGTGACGGACGGACGGACGTGAGAAAATGCGCTCTCTGTCACCACTGCAGCGAGTACTAATCTAATTTTTTACATGTACCTCAGGGACCTACACATGTGTCATATAATCATCAATCACATGTTTTCTTACATGTGATTTATAGCTTCTAACTTTAATGGATTCTTTAGTAATTTTTCCTTTAAATGCTTTTTCTTGGAAAATTCAAACTCTCGTGATTGCTTTTGGCGTGATTGTTTGTTCGCTTTTCATTCTCATGTAGTGTAATGTTCTGATCGGAACAATCTTGTCTGATAAGATAAGTCAATATTAAATAAATCACATGTTCTTTATATTGCATGTTAATACTAGAAGCTTGGTTCAATTCAATTGATGCAAAAATAGTGAGTTGTGTTAAGATATTTCCGCATAACAGACATCCCATATCCCGATGAAAAGATGATAGCTTCTTTGAATAAAAATTTTTGAAAAAATGCAAAATAACATACATCAGCGCTGCACTTCGCTGATTAAAATCCATTATTCTGCATCATATTTTAGATTTCCAATACGCTATGCATGAAGCTCAATGATGAGAAAATTACTAAAGAAAAGTATCATGACTCAAGGTAATTTTTACTTGTAGTTTCATATCATACCGTCAGCATGTCCCTAAACAGACGGCGCATAAAGCATCACGTGTTGCTGATAGTCTTCATATCGCTGGATAAAAAACAATGCACCTTCATGTGGGAAATTCTCAAGCGTTTTCTGCCTCTGACGATAAATATATTCACTTTTTGTAACTGACGCATTAGAAATGCGACAATGGGAGAGATGGGAAAATGAGGAGAGATGAGAAAATTTTGATTTTAAATAAGGAGAAGAGAATTGAAAATAGTTTTAGATTTGATAAGGAGAATTGATTTGATGGTTTTTAGTTCGCATGAGTATATAAATATTATGTTGAGTGAGAATGTACCAAAGATCATAACTCATTACGTTCGGCAAAATATAGATAAATGAGAATCAGTGAAATTATATACATATGAGATAAATTAGCTTCTGACGAAATCATTACCAAAGAAATATTATCGTTTCACACTTGCAAGAATGAGTTAGCGTCATTTTCAGATACCGCATTGTGAATATCAAGTGGAAGATTATGTCGAAATAATTTGTGACAATTTCCTTACTGTTTCGGGCCGTCATAGCGGTGGGCCATGTAAATTATTTCATATATAGACGGCACAACCCCTCTGAACTGCCAGGTCAGTCAATGAACTGACTTGTGTGCCACTACCACTTTAAACTGTTGTTGAATATGATTCTTTAATATATAATGTTATTATTGTGTCCCACAATGCTTGGTCTATTCTGTATAGTTTGCGGAATATGAAGACTAAATTCGAATCAGTTGACGTCCAGTAGTGCATCCATTATTTGACATATCGTAATAGAGATTCTTAATATACATTATTTTCCCATGTACCAGCCGTTATCTCACATAAGCATCACAATAACAAATCTCTAACACATGTGTCTTGCTCCCACGTGCCCGCTTTACCTTGATATATAACAGCCACCAGCGCTGTTATATATCAATACAATATAGCGTTACACTGAAGACAGTAAGACATGTGGGCGCTGGTGTTGCTCGGCTCGATCCTGACTATGGCACATGGTAGGTTGGTTACTGCGCCCGTTGATACACTCTTATGTCAACCTAAACTGGGTTAGGCTGACCCACACAACAACAAAGAGTGTATTACTATTTGGATAAAGTCTCACATATTTCTCTGAGTGCTGACGCCGAATTTTCGTCGACAGCTTGTGTTGGGAGACATCGTGGGTTCATTTGGAAATTCTTCTGTCATGATGTTTGAAAATTCCAAGTAAATTTATTGGTGTAATGTTAATTCTATCTGTATCTTGTAATGTCTGACAATTTTTCCAATTAATTTTAATTTGTCGCTTCTTTTTAGACCTTTTTTTATTTTCCTTTTAAAAGACCTTTTCCACTGAATTCGTCAGCGCACCACCATCTAATGTACTTTATGTTTCCCTAGATTGCCTCCATTTCAAAGTTCTTCAAATACGAGGGGCATCCGGAAAGTAGTACCCGTTTGGGAATTTAACAAAAGGAAGTAAATATTAACAAATGTAAACATGTTTATTGAAAAGAACATGTATTACACTACTTCTCTACATAATATCCGGACAAATTAAAGCATTTGTCGTATCGTGTCTCGAGTTTTTGTATGCCAGTGTCATATGCCTCCGCCGCCTGTGTTTCTGGGATCGGTTAAGTGTACTGCTCATCGATTTCATGACTCGTGGAGACACAATCAATGCCAATGCATATTGTGCAACATTAAAGAAATTACGGCAGGCAATTCAAAATCGACGGCGAGGTCTGTTGTCTACTGGCGTCATTCTCCTGCACGATGAAGCCAGGCCGTATACGGCTCGAATAACACAACAACTTCTCCAAAAAAATCAAGTGGGAAATTTTCGACCATCAACCCTACCAACCCAACCCTTTCGACCATCAACCCTTGACTTGGCTCCTTCAGATTTTTATCTGTTTACGAAACTCAAGGACTTCATGGCAGGGACAACGTTTCAAAATGACAAAGAACTGAAAGAACACGTGACTGCGTATCTCAATACACTGTCGGCGAAGGCATATGACACTGGCATACAAAAACTCGAGACACGATACGACAAATGCTTAAATTTGTCCGGAGATTATGTAGAGAAGTAGTGTAATATATGTTCTTTTTCAATGAACATGTTTAAATTTGTTAATATTTACTTCCTTCTGTTCAATTCCCAAACGGGTACTACTTTCCGGATGCCCCTCGTACCTCTGCTATGAAACTTTTTATAAAAGTTGCTTAGTAATATATTGTGCATATGCAAAATGTGATTTTGAACGGGACGTGTTGTTGAGAAAGGTTCCGCCACCCAGGCCATTTATACGAAAGCTTCTTCCCGTAAACATTTCAACATTTTCGCGAAGCCTTCATTTTTGTAAATGCCTTTTCTCATAAAAACTTCGACATTTTTGCGAAAGCCTATATTCTTTGTGATAGTTTCTTCTCGAAACAGGAATAAATTTCCTAATCCCCTGTCGCCTAGGCTTGCCGAGGTCGACACGCATGTGCGAGTCGGCGACCATCGTGGAGGCGTGGCCAGGAGGATACAAGGGCACCGTATCCTTCGCTGCTCCTTCCGCCTACTCCAGCGTCATCCTGGACCTCTACTTCCTGCACCCTGTCAACAGCTTGCAGGTGCGCCGTGTGATTCTGACCTGCACTCCTGCAACCAATCAAATTTTGTTAAAAAATTCTTTACTAATATTACATTTAGGCCGCCAACGTTCTCATTTCTTGGTCCACATTCATGTTGAATGGATGATCACCGCAGATCACGACGGGAGGACAGGTGACGTCTGAGAGCGACACTCACTTCGTCTACACCGTCGGCGACTCCGGCAGCGCGGGGTCGACGGTCTCGTACGACTTCCAGGTGAGAGTCTGAAGCAAAACATCCTGAAGGAAAATCCCCGCATTTTAGATCGTAAAACTTGAGGTCTTAATCGTCAAACATTAATCTAAAAACACATAAGTTTACTACGCTCGGATTTTTGACGAATTTATAATGTACAGTATATACGACCAAGATATGGATATGCTATACTGAATATACAGTACTACTGTATTGCTGAATATTCGTAGATATAGATATACTCAATTCCTCATATTTAAAGGAATTTGAAAATTACATAGAGACTGAATATAATTGATACATATACTGATTAGGCATATATAAAGCCTCTAAGCACGTTGATACGATCGATGACACTGGAAAACTTTTCAAATTCTGAGTTTACAGCTTTGGACTCTTTATAGGTAGCATACAGCGAGCAGCAGCCGCTGCTAGGAGCCATGGTCTTCAACGGCGATGACGTGTGCGGTGCAGGTAAAATGAAACCTAGCTCCGTTTATGAATATGTTTCACTTATTAATGCGAACCATAATTTAGCTGCATTCTTTCTTAAAGAATCAGTCAACTTTGACTCCTATAGTATAGCAATAGCATTCAGGACTGAAAACGTTTTTCGGTGGGGATAGTTCTTGTTCGTTTTTCTTGTTGATAGTTCTCTTATCTGCTAAACTTACTTATTCCCTAATATACTTTTCACCTTTTGTTTAGACAGAAAACTATCCTGAAATGCTCTACACATTTCTGTGCCTTTCGGGTACGAATTGATGTTACCGTTATCGTAAGGATCATTGCTGGGAAATATTTTGCGATTTAATTCCTGTATGACATGAATTTAAATGTATATGGAATTAATGATGCCTCAATTTGTTAAAAATTATACGGCAGGAGGAGGCTTAACCACAGCACCTCCCCTACCCAACCCCTGCGCAGCCACTGGCACCACACCCTACGACTACCCTCAGGTGGGTCAACCCTACGACTACCCTCAGGTGGGTCAGCCCTACGACTACCCTCAGGTCGGTCAACCCTACGACTACCCTCAGGTGGATCAACCCTACGACTACCCTCAGGTGGGTCAACCCTACGACTACCCTCAGGTGGGTCAACCCTACGACTACCCTCAGGTGGGTCAACCCTCGGCACTGGGACAAGTCAAAATCAAAACAAGATGGTAAAGTCATCAAGACTCTATGACCACGAACACTAACAAGAATTATTTAAGAAGTATATTGAGAAAATATTTAATTATTCATGCATTTAAATCTCTTATATTCAAATATAATTAGATAACCTTTGCTCGCAGGTGCTGTGCATGTCGATTTTGTTCTACGAAGCGCAGCGGTCGGGACGGCTGCCCGCCGACCAGCGTATCACGTGGCGGTGGGACTCTGCTCTCGGGGACGGCGGGGACGTGGGGGTAGACCTCACGGGGGGCTACTATGATGGTATGTTACCCCGTGGCAGACCCCACTTGTCTTTATAGTAATCTAAACTGTCATAGTAAGAATAAGATAGGAGTGTAAGAAGTGCTACTTAATAAGAAATATTATTTGTTATATTACTTTATTCATTTTATTTATATATTTTATTAGTTTTTTTTATAATAATATCATATTTTTCATTCTCATATCATCTGCTATAAAAAGATTTACAATCCATTGAAGCGTGAAATGAAATTTTTACTTACAACTAACTTTAACAGGTCTCTTTCTGATGTAGAATTATTCAGCCTTGAATGGCAGGCTTGTAACCAAACCTTTTATTGTATGCATTTAAAGTATGTTTCACTATCACCTTCTCCAGTAACACCATCATTTTGTACGTAAATGACGATATTTCTGGTTATATTTATGTATGTTACACCATTCCCACTCACCAATAACACAATCTTATGTTATATTACACATGTTTCACCAACGCCCTCACCAATAACACCATCTTATGTTTATATTACACATATTACACCATCGCTCTCACCAATCTTAATTTTATAATAAATATATTACACCTTTGCCCTCACCACTAACACCATCTTATGTTTATATTACACATGTTTCACTATCGCCCTCACTTATAACACCATCTTTTGTTTGCATTACATATATTACACCATCACCCTCACCAATAACACCATCTTATGTTTATATTTTTACACATATTACACCATTGCCCTCACCAATAACACAATCATATGTTAAATTACACATATTACACCATTGCCCTCACCACTAACACCAACTCTTGTTTGCATTACACATATTACACCATTGCCCTCACAACTAACACCATGTTTTCATACACCACACAGCTGGCGACCACGTGAAGTTCGGGCTGCCGCTGGCCTACACAGGCACGGTGCTGGCGTGGGGCGCCATCGCGTACGAGGCCGGCATGAGGAGCGCTGGTGAATACGACAACGCTCGCGCCGCCGTGCGCTGGGTCGCGGAGTACCTACTTAAAGCGCATTCCGCACCCGGCGAACTTTACGGACAGGTAATGACACATTAAGATAGTTACGGACTTTACTTCTTACGAACTTTACGGACAGGTAATGAGACATGAATATAGTTACGGACTTTACCTCTTACGAACTTAACGAACAGGTGATGAGACATGAATATAGTTAAGGACTTTTCTTCTTACGAACTTTACGGACAGGTAATGAAATATTAATGTAGTTACGGACTTCCTTGTGAACTTCTTTCCTTCTTACCTACTTTACGGACAGGTAATGAGACATTAATGTAGTTACAGATTTACTTACGAACTTCTTTTCTTCTTATCAACTTTACGGACAGGTATTGAGACATTAATATAGTTATGGATTTCCTTGCCAACTTCTTTCCTTCTTAACAACTAAACTTTACGGACAGGTAATGAGACATTAATATTGTTACTGACTTCCTTGCGAATTTCTTTCCTTCTTACCTGCTTTACGGACAGGTAATGAGACATTAACATAGTTACGGACTTCCTTGCGAATTTCTTTCCTTCTTACCACCAGCTTTACGGACAGGTAATGAGACATTAATATAGTTACGGACTTCCTTGCGAACTTCTTCCTTCTTACCAACTTTACGGACAGGTAATGAGACATTAATTTAGTTACGGATTTCCTTGTGAACTTCTTTCTTTTTTACCAACTTTACGAACAGGCAATGAGACATTAATGTATTTACGGACTTCCTTGTGAGCTTCTTTCTTTCTTACCAATTTTACGAACAGGTAATGAGACATTAATATACCTTCGAACTTCCTTGCGAACTTCTTTCCTTCTAACCAACTTTGCGGACAGGTAATGAGACCATAATGTATAGTAATGGATTTCCTTGCGAACTTCTTTCGTTCTTACCAACTTTGCGGACAGGTAATGAGACATTAATATAGTTACGGACTTCCTTACCAACTTCTTTCCTTCATACTAACTTTACGGACAGTTAATGAGACATCACTTTGATTACGGACATCTTTGCGAATTTTCTTATTTTTTCAAAACTTTCCGGGCGGGCTGTTAAGGCTCTCTGTTCAAAGTTGCGACTCTAGCGATAATGTGCTAAATGTATTTAGTGAACAATTTTTAATCGTCATCAAACTTTAACTCATGAAAAATTGTTTCAATCATCCGGTTGTGAGTTTAATACCAAACGTGCCATGTCATAATTTGTTCCACTTTACACACATCAATTTAAAGTCCTGCTTGCCAGAGCTTCACATTAAGTGAACGCAGTCATCTCATTATGACTAAAATAACATTTATAGAAAAGTTCTCTAGTATGAGAACGATGAACCGCAGAAACAACTGTTACAACAAGCAGTTGTTTGTTGCTGTCGTGCGCCCGAACCTAGAGTTTGGAAACGTCGTGTGATCACCGAAATTTGAAAAGGACAAAAATTTAGTAGAGAGTGTTCAAAGACGCGCAATAAGGCTGGTTCCGGGCTTGAAAGGCAAGTCCTATGAGGAAAAATTAAAGATTATGAAGCTTCCAAGCCTCCGTTATCGACGTCTGCATGGGGACCTCATTGAGGTATACAAGTATACTCATGGCTTATACAAGGTCCAAGAAGGATTACTAGAATTGGAAACAAGAACCAACACCAGGGGCCACGGCTATAAACTAAAAAAACAGCGTTGGAACACATCCATGCGACAACATTTCTTCTCGCTCCGAGTCACCGACATGTGGAACAGCCTCCCTGATAGCATCGTTGACGCTCCGAGTATGAACGCCTTCAAAAGCAGACTAGACGAAGCTATTCAGGAGCATATGTTCAGTCTTAAAATGCCTAGCAAATTACGGACCTGCAGGCAATAAGTCCAGCAGCTATCTCAATCAATCGTCAGCTATGGAAAGATCGGGTTCCAAAGGCCGGATCCCTTGCGAATCAAGTCACGAAAAGTTCAAGAATCGGCAACAGGCCATGGGCCTATTTCTTACTATTCTATTCTATTCTATTCTATTCTATTCTATTCTATTCTATTCTATTCTATTCTATTCTATTCTATTCTATTCTATTCTATTCTATTCTATGACAGGCACGGTCCCGATAATCTCATGAGTGAAGCCACCGTCGTTGTAATCTTAGATTAAAAACCAACTGTTAAAACTAAAAATTGTGCCGAATTTATTCTTGGTTGAGCAATACATGAAATGAAACGTTCCGAAGCTCGTCAAGCATGTCAAACGAGACTACGCTCGTTATTCATCTATTTTATTCCCACGTGAATATAAATTGAATGCCTCAAATTTATATCATGTTTCCTCACCTCTAAATCACTGTAGTTTATCACTGTCATCAGCAGTACATATTTGAAAAATATAATTATTAATAAAATATAATAAACTACTTAATAAAATTTTAATTATTTATTGATAATAAAAATCTTAAACCCCGCAGGTGGGGGACGGTGGGCTGGACCACGCGTACTGGGGCAGGCCTGAGGAGATGACCATGCCGCGACCAGCTGCTAAAATCACCACCCAGGCGCCTGGTTAGTTTATACGTTTCTTTGGAACATTCTCTCAAATGAAGATAAATTATTAACTTATAACCAATTTATTTCAATTGAAATGATATTTTATTGAAATTTAGGCTTCAGTGACGGGAAGATCTAAACTTCTAAAGATTATGTCGTTTCAAGAAGCCATCGTAAAAGTAATCGAGGTAAAACTATTTCTAGCCATTGCATATGAATAAAAAAAAGTGGCTATGTTGTTATATTTATTGTTTCCTGTCAGAAGGAAAAGTTGGCCGTTTTTGAAAACGTGGTGTAAATAAATCCTGTTTTCTCACGAACGGCGCAATATCATCGTTGTAACCGCAATTATTGTTATTCAACAACAGTGATGAGCATCGCGTTCTTTTTTAATTAATATGCACAACTTTTTTCATCGAGTATAGGGAAGCTGGTCTCTAAACTGTCTCTTATAACTATATTATGCTATTTTATTAAGTTACTGCGCGTGGGTTTGACTCATTAATATTCATGTTTAATTTTTCTCTAAAGTTTTCTGTCCCAGATTTGTGCCTAGATTCTCACTATTTAAAACCTGAATATTTAACTCTTCTTGCATTTCCAGGTTCTGATTTAGCCGGTGAGACCGCGGCGGCTCTCGCTGCAGCTTCGATATTATTCTCGGTAGGTCTGCATCGCGTTCTTCACCAGATGTTTGAATAAGATTAATCAGCGGAATGAACGTATGCGTGTTTAATAATGTGATTTTTAAAGCGGTAAAATTAGTGCCTAATCCGTGCGAAAAACTATGCGGGTTATATATGATACGATATGGGGACTGGCTTTATAATCACTGACTAACTAATTGATTCCTCGACGGTGATCGTACGACTCAATAATGCATTATGCAACAAGCGAACGCTTAGAAAAAACAAACGAAAATAATACGTATAAAACAAAATTCAAATAGAACATGACTATAGTAAATACAAAAAAAACTATCGACGTAAAACACAAGCCTAACTCGACGAGAGGCGCAGAGTGAGACCGTATGCTGTGTTTCCAATTAATGAAAGCTCACGTTTGAGTTACGCTTGACGAAGATATGAAAAAAATAATTTACAGATACAGTCAACATTAGAGAATTTCTAAAATAGGAAACCTTGTCTTAAGCGCCATGAATATGGAGGCAGATTTATGTAATATTAATAGCAATAATAATAATGCACTACAACTTTAATCGCATTTTGGAGCTACATGAGATCATCAGTTCGGGGGTATCAGTGTAAGTCTTTCCCATCATTTAAGATGACACACGTCTGATGAATAATTTGATTATAAGAATAAATCGTGAAAATCTCATTGCTGGTAAATATTAGCACAGTTGTAATAATTACCATGTGCAGATTAATTAGCAGCCGGCAAAAGCTTACTACACAGAACCATTAGTGAAGTGCGAGCTTCTGGGGGAAAACTGTATATTTCTGTGTACATTGCTGTGTACATAGCTGTATTTATAGCTGTGTATATATGAAGGCCATGAATCTGAATGTTGCCATCTTCGTTCTCGGCAACTGATTTTTTTTTCATGTTCGTAGAGGTCAGTAAATAGTAAATGAATCCCTTGCAATGCACGTGGAAAGTAATGGAGAGACAATACTGAGTAAAATAGCATTATTGATCAGTCGCTAAAATGCAAAGTAAATTTAATCTATGACTAATAAATTTCCAGGGGAATTCCTCTAACCAGAATACACGGGACCATCACAACCGCAATACCCCTCTCAAAAATACACACATACAACAAATATCAACTAACCAACTAAAACAACTCAAATATCATAAACAACTATAAAACATATACCAAATTCCTCAATCACTTTAGCGCAATCTTCTCTCGAAAAACACATCATCACCAATTCACTCACTTCAAACAACCCCACCACACACTCTCTATCACTCAGATAATACAATATAAACTGTATATCATATCTCTTTTCAAAATAATCAATCTAAAAAGCCATCACTAAAATCGCAACACTCATTTCTTTATCACTCATCAGTCACGCCAGTGGCTTCTTGCATGGCTGAGAAAAAAATTTTTGAAAATTTTTCAAAAATTTAGGTTTTTAATTTTTTTCGCCATATACATGATCCGGGAAGGCCCAAAAACCTCAAGTGCATACTTGCAATCATGCCCAACATATGTGCAAAGTTTGCGGCTTGTGACTTTTATTTTGGAGGAGGAGATAGCTTTTGAAATTTTCCCCAAAAAATTGGTTTTTAATTTTTTTCTCGAAAAAATTCAGGGCGGCAAGTTGAGCAGTTCTCCCAAGAAATCGCGGGGTAAAAAAATGTTTTAGTTGAGTGTCGACATATACATGTTCCGAGATAGCCCAAAAAAGTTTATGGCATACCTGCAACCATGCCCAACATTTGTGCAAAGTTTGCCACCTGTGACTTTTGTCTTGGCCGAGAAAAACTCGTTTGAAATTTTCCCCACCCCGCGGGTGGGTAGAAACTTGGGAAAAATCCGGCAAAAATCGCGAAAAAAAAAAATTTTCGAATTTTGAAAATTTTTCAACAGCATATCATAAAACACGTCTGGGGATGATTTTTCATCGAAATAAACGTTCCTGTGAGATGCACGGATTTTGAGTTGTATCGCTTTGAATTTTTGCCAAAAAGTCGAAAATACGATTTTTTTCGAATATCTCGCGAACCACGCATTTTAGAGGAAAATGGTCATCANTTCTCCGATTTTTTAAAAATTGTCAAAAATTTGGTCAATTTTTCACCTTGACTCCCGTGGGGGGCACATTTTTCGGCGGATCGGGTCAGGATTTAACGGAAACATGCCCCACCCTAAGAGAAGAAAAAGAGCCAAGATTGAAGCGCGTGCGAGGTCTGGTTGATTTTTAGCGAAATTTTTAAAAAATTCCCACTCTTTGGGGATTGGTGTCTTCCCCATGGGGAATTTCGGGAATCCGACTCCTGATTCGTAAATAGGAAATCGATCTCTATTATGAGCCAAAATTTCAGCTTCCTGGCAGGCCTGGAACATTGAGAATGGCGCCAAAAGTACAAATTTCGTGAGAGGTACTAAAAGGGTGTTCAGACCTCGTCCTCGTCAATATACGATTTCTGCCGAGGTGCGGGATTTTGTTTTAGTGATTTCTTTCGAAACTTTTTTTCGAGTCCCACGCGTGTAATTAAACATAATCAATTTCGTATCTATGGCACTCAATTTCCTTGTGCTCAGGACGACGCTCAGTTCTCAACCGCCTGCCTAGACGCCGCCAGAGATCTCTACGACCTCGCGGACCTTCATCGCCAGATCTACACCGTGTCCATACCCGGGGCCTCGGGATACTATGAGTGAGATGGTATCCTTCCACTCCACAACCCCATACCCTCCCCACATACCCGGGGCCTCGGGATACTACGAGTGAGATGGTTGTCCTTCCCCTCCACAACCCCATACCCTCCCCACATACCCGGGGCCTCGGGATACTACGAGTGAGATGGTTGTCCTTCCCCTCCACAACCCCATACCCTCCCCACATACCCGGGGCTTCGGGATACTATGAGTGAGATGGTATCCTTCCCCTCCACAACCCCGTACCCTCCCCACATACCCGGGGCTTCGGGATACTATGAGTGAGATGGTTGTCCTTCCCCTCCAAAACTCCATACCCTCCCCACATACCCGTCGTTTCATACCGACCAAAAATATGTTTAAACTTCATTTTAACGACTGAGGTAGAGGCTAATATAAAACTAGTTTCGTTGTCAAATTCAAATACTAGTTAAAAATTCAAAATAATTCAAATTAGTTCATCTAATTTTTAGTGTATTTTGTGATTAGTTCGTTCAGCGGGTACGGCGACGAGCTGGCGTGGTCAGCCATCTGGCTGTACAAGGCGACGGGAGATGAAGCGTACCACGCGGCCGCGGTGAGGCACTGGGACGAGTTCGGGCTGGGCGACGGGGCGGTCCAGTTCAGTTGGGACGACAAGACGCCAGGCTGCTATGTCAGTAGTCTACATCGTGCATTGTTGATAATTATATCTTCATTAAATGTCAAACTTTGCTAATTGAGTCGTGTTATTTTTAATTGCTATTGATTTAAAGTTATAAATCTTAATTATGTTGGCAACGTATCGGTTGAGGCATATTAAATTAATAGACAACTGTAAAGATACGAATAAGTAAGCCTCATTATTTAAGGAATCAAACATTATAAGTACACCTGATGTATCTACGTATTCATTGACCGTCACAGTGCTATTCGTACCAGAATGCCCAGCTAACCGCAGCAACCGCACCGACCAAAGATTAAATAAGCTGCAATCACATTGCTTGTCAATGTTACATTACTAGTTCATTATTAGTTCGACAATACTAGTTCACTGTTAGTTCGACAATATTAGTTCAATATGAGTTCAACATCATTAATTCATTATTTGTTCGACATTATTAATTTGTAGTGAAAATTTGATTTTTTTCTTACAATGCAGGCGTTGTTTGCTGAGCTGGACGGTGGTCCAGCGTACGTCTCAGCGCTGCAGGGGTTCGTGGACCAGACGATCAACGGCGCCACGTACACGCCAGGGGGGCTGGTGCACCTCGACACCTGGGGGGCGCTGCGCCACGCTATGAACGTCGCCTTCATCGCCCACAGGGTAACTCATCTTTGCTTCTCCTGCTGCAACATTAATGGCTTTTTTTCATTATGCCACTTCCCATTATGCCACTTCACATTATTTCATTTCACATTATGCCACTTCACATTATGTCATTTCACATTATGTCATTTCACATTATGTCATTTCACACTATGTCACCTTTCACTATTTCACATTTTATTATGCCAGTTACCATTATGCCACTTCCCATACCTCCATTATTTTTCAATGCTGCATTCAGATGTGTTTCATTTGCATTCTGCTTCTCTCGTTATTCTTATTTTGCCTTATATTGTCCTTTCTTGCACATTTCTCCCGTCTGAAAGCTTAAATTGTTTTATCGGTCGTAGCAATCGCTTACTATTTATTGTACATGCTTCGCTTGCTTCAGCCATGAACGTCTAAGTTGCAAGTAGCAGTTAAATACTTATGTAAAAATATATAGGAAAATGTCATGAATATTCTTTTTTGTAACTTATTTGAACTCAATATATGTGCTACATTCCAGGCCGCAGACCTCGGCATTAACACGGCCTCGTATCGCGCCTGGGCCACGGGGCAGCTTCACTACGCCCTGGGCGACACCGGTCACTCCTTCGTCGTGGGCTTCGGCGTGAACCCTCCTGAGCGTCCCCACCATCGCGCCAGGCATGTGGTCTTGAAAAAGTCGCTTGTATTACTAAAGAGAATATGTAGGAATATACTCGCCACGGTTTAAAATGAAATTCGGCGTGAACATCTTCGGCGTTCCCTGATGATGTTATTGACAGTCCTGAGAAGTCATGCGCACCGTTTTTCGTATAAACTATAATGATGCTGAGCATTTCTGACTAACTCGGAGCCAAATAATTATCACTGTATTTCTTTCAGAGCCAAAGGATTATCACTGTATTTAGTAGTTATCATGTCGTCTGCGGCTTACGGCCTAGACCCTCCGATGAATATCATCATCGAAATTGATAAATATGTTTCATATTTTTGTTTATGTTGTGCAGCTCTTGCCCGCAATACCCAGCTTCTTGCACAGACTCCTGGGCACAGAACCAACCTGGCCCCAACCCGCATACCCTGTATGGCGCCCTCGTCGGCGGACCTGATCAGGTGTGATGCTCAGAGCAAACCAGGACATATTTTTGTCTCATTCTCAGAATACATGACTTCGAACGACCCGCGTTTACATAACTTATCAATGTCATATACATTCAAACTTTATAAGCATTATTCATCTTTATCTATTCATATATCTTTATAATTTATTTGCTATTAAATTAAGTTGTGATAAAGCTCGGAACGAGGATATTGCTGGCCTCACGTGCCTAAAGCGTTGATGGCCTCACAATTACATGTATCATTTGTTTACGTCAGTATTTTCCTCTAGATGTTAATCATCGTCCTATGTTTTTATTGATATATACGCACAATTCTTTCCCGGAATTTTCTAGGAATGTGCGTCATATCCTCACTACTTCTTCTCTTGTGCAGTCTGACAACTACGTGGACGACCGCATGGATTTCGTTCACAATGAAGTCGCGTGTGACTACAATGCCGCTTTTGTGGGCGTGCTCGCAGCAACTGTGCAAAACTCTTCCTAATAATGATTAATTTTATTGCAAAATTTCAAAAGTAAACAAATTTATTTTCAATGTGAGAATGATACTTTCATTTTTTTCATCTTTATGTATTTTCGGGCAGAAGTAAACGAGCGACAAATTTTCGGTCTTTCTTCTATAAATTATCAATTCAAGTATTTTTTCAATGGAGAGGTTTTGATTCACAGATTTGACCATTGTATTTTTAGATATTAGCTTCAGGTTTATTCCTCCTTGTTTTCCTTAAGCCATGCTTTTTCTTTCATTTAAATCTGTCGCGTAATTAAAAGCTTGACCGAACTAGCGTGTTTTTCATACGATGTATACTGTGCCATAACTATAGAGTTCAATCGCGCAATGGTATAAGAACCTATTATATTTTATGAACGATTGTGTGTTTTGTCTCCTTATACGAGGCCTTATTTTCTAAATGTATTGAGAATATTTCAGCGTTAGCGCAAAATATTCCGGCATATACAAAGACTTGAAATCGTATCTTATATTGGTAATGTATGGCATCACTCAAAGTCATCGATGAGTCATTATGAAATGAATAAATTATACCCAAAGTTATATGATTTAGTTTTGGGTACGAACGAACGTTTTTTTGCTTTATAATGGAAAAATTAAAGGTACGGTATTGTATTGCGGGTAGCATAATACGGGCTCGCCAAGCTCCCTCATTTCCACGTGAGCCGCGTAGCTACGCCGCCATCTTTGTAGCACACTCGCACCTTAACTTACTCTTTCGTTCCTACGCGTATGGATGTTTTGGTGCACCATGCTAGAATTCAAGGCATGCAAGACGCTTGAAGCTTTCAAGTAATTTGTGGATGGATGGGTGCAGGAGATATACACCCACAAACCAGCCAAATGCAACAACACTGTCATTGCTGCCCAGGTGATTATAATGGATCATGACAATGTAATCTGATCTGTTTATATTACTACTTTTTATTCTTACTTGTGTAGCTTATCTAGTGGCAAGTAACAGGTTTTGCTCCTTGAAAAATATATTGTATCTTATATCACGAATATTCACGGCTGGTAAACTGATATACGATATGTAATTCAGTAAGATGAATAAACTGATACGATATACGCGGCTGTTAAACTGAAGAAACTCATTCCATCGTCCATTTTTATGCTTAAATAATCGTAAAAACGACTGGAGTAGCGTCCATCTTCAGGCAAAAACTTCAAAAACAGACAAGCGCAGTAGATTTAACAAGTAGGCGAAGGCTAAACCATGCTAAAAATATGGAGGCCGATCCCACAATGCATCTCGCGATTCGGTTCTGTGACGTCATCGTTTCGAGCGCGAAAATGGCGGGGAGGCCGGGCGGTTATGCAAAGCAAATTTGAACAACTAGTTTTGTGTTCGTGACCGCAACGAGATGGAAATTTTTAGCAATGTTTATAATTGGATACGAGCCTACGGCCTGATAAACGCTGAAAGCGCTATTATTACTATTTATTATTATTATTAACATAACATAGTGATCTCGGCGCTGAAGTGTAGGCTTGATGTGGCCTTTCGCCGATTCTTTTCCTTTTCGTGCCTTGTTCACAGAAGGTCAAAAATTGTGTCATTTGACCGGATCTTTTCATGACTGACGATAGTTTGAAGTAGCTACTAGACTTCCACCGGGTTCGATATGGTGCTAGGCATTTCAAATCTGAACATATGTTTTCCATGGCTTTATTTAGTCTGTTCTTGAACGCGTTCACACTTGGAGCGCCAACGATGTCATCGGGGAGGTTGTTTATTATTAAATTTCTTCTAATATATGGCTGGTGTCAACTTCTACGTAGTCAATAACAATAATTTAATTCTATTAATATCAGAAGTTTATTTTATTGTCATATTGATAAAATTTCGTATTTCAGGCGGCAACAGTTCGCGGAAAATTCTTAAAAGACAGAAAACGGAACTCGCGGTTGTTGCGATCGCGGATCGCAACAAATGTGATTCTCATTTAAGTTCGATGTTTCTAGCCGCAGGCCGCGTGCTCTCGAGTCTCGACTCTCGAGCGTTGCATGCAGGAACAAGTGTCGTATCATAACATTTCGTATGTGATTTAAATCACCGCGTTTCCCCCTTTTGCATTCTATATGATCGTTTGTCTATTTTAATTTTCATGAAATTACATTTGGTACTGCCATCGCCATGATTTGTAAATAGGCTATACAACTGTGGACCTGTCACCTGTGGGCTGTGGTTACAGTTCAGACCGTCACTTCAGACCCGCTTTCCGTACCAGCATTATCATACATAAGAAATTGGTTTAAATATTGAGTAAATGACGAAATTAAAATGATCTGATTCTAAAAAATCTCTGGTTTGCAACTAAGCCTAGGTATGCTTCAGAGTACCAAGACAAAATTGGAGCAGAGACTAGAGAGGTTAGAGGTGCAGGTTTGATCCCAGGATTCCCAGCTCTGTGCGCCAGTTTCTGTTCCCCCTTTTGCATTTCATATGATCGTTTGTCTATTTTAATTTTCATAAAATTACACAGCTCTGTGACTGTGTGTGCGTTACTCCTTTAACCTTTTTGCATTTAATATGATTGTTTATCTATTTTAATTTTCATGAAATTATATTTGGTACCGTACTCAGATAGCTAGCTGCTAGGTACTGCCATGATTTGTAAATATACAACTGTGGTCCATGGTGGAATTCTGACAAGGGAGGTACTTATGGCGCTCCGGGGGGAGGGGGGGCGCTCC